TTGGCCAGTAGGCCTCCATATTGGGTCTTTTTTTTAGAGCCTTAGCTTCCATCGGTGATAGCCACCTCGGGGTCTTACTTTCTAATAAATCCTTGTACTTCAACCATACGGCAAAAATTGATTTTCTGACAATATGGTTTTTGAAAAGTTTATGAACTTTCGCCTTGTCATACCACAAATATGCGTGCCAGCCAAAGAGATTGTCGAACCCCTCCAGATCTAGGACATCAGTGTTCTCCAACAAAAACCAATCCTTCAACCAACAGAAGGCTGCAGCTTCATAATACAACCTCAAGTCCGGCAGGGCAAATCCCCCTCTTTCTTTAGCATCAGTAAGTATTTTAAATTTTATTCGGGGCTTTTTGCCCTGCCAGACAAACCTAGATATATCCTTCTGCCATTTTCCAAAACACTCCACTCTGTCCACGATCTGAAGGGTCTGAAACAAGAATAACATTTTCGGCAAGACACACATCTTTATAGCTGCAATTCGACCTGACAAGGTAAGTTTAAGTCTTGACCAAATATCCAAATCCTTTTTAATTTCCAACCAACATTTTTCATAGTTATCTTTAAATAGGTTCAGGTTTTTGGTGGACAAGTGTACCCCCAAGTATTTCACTTTTTTAACCACACTTAATTCTGTTTCTTTCTGGTACCCATCTATTTCTGTAGATGTCAGATTCTTAACCAAAACCTTAGTTTTTTGTTTGTTCAGCTTAAATCCCGCCACCCGACCAAAGTCCGAGATAAGTTCAAGTACTCTTTTTGTACTAGATTCTGGCTCCTGTAATGTTAAGACTAGGTCATCTGCAAAAGCTTTCAGTTTGTATTGTTTCGCTCCGACCTCTATACCTTTCACCAACCGATCCTCTCTAATCATGTTCAGCAACACCTCCAGTACAGAAATAAATAACAGAGGAGATAGAGGGCACCCCTGTCGTGTCCCTTTTTCAATTTTAAGTTCCTCCGATACCACATTGTTCACTATCAGTTTGGCTTTTTGTTCTGAATAGATTGCATCTATTCCATTTTCAAACCCCCGCCCCACTCCCATCCCTTCCAAGTTCTTCTTCATGAACAGCCAAGAAATGTTGTCAAATGCTTTCTCCGCATCAATAAAGATTAGGGCCGCCCTTGTGTTCCTAATCCGCAAAAGTTCCAAAATGTCTATAATATTCCTGGTGTTATCAGACATATGTCTACCAGGGAGAAAGCCTGCTTGGTCCTTGTGAATTACTTCATTTAGTACTTTTTTAAGTCTACTTGCCAAAATGTCTGCAAATATTTTGTAATCCACGTTCAGGAGTGAGATGGGGCGGTAGTTCTTGAGCTGGGTCTTTTCCAGTTCTGACTTAGGTATCAATGTGATAAATGCTTCTTTCCACGTTTCCGGTGCCCTCTTTCCCTCCATAATCTGGTTGCATACCTCCATCAAAGGTTGTATCAAGTAGTCCTTCAAAGTCTTATAGTATTTGGAGGTAAGCCCGTCTGGGCCTGGAGATTTACCAAGTTGCATATTCTGGATGGCACCTTCAATTTCCTGTTGAGTTATTTTGCAATTCAAGATTGATCTTTTATCTTCACTTATTTTTGATAATCCATTTGTCTTTAAAAAATTGTCTATTTCAGGTTCTTTCTGAGGCCCTTGTGCATAAAGATCTTTAAAATATCTGTGGAAGCATTTCCTAATTTCTTCTGGTTTCTGAACTATTCTTCCTTGAATCTCTAAATTTGTAACCGTGTTTAACTTTTGTCTTTTTTTCAGCTGCCAAGCTAGCAGCTTTCCACATTTGTTTGCTGATTCAAACGATCTCTGTTTCATTTGTTTAATTTTCCATTCTATCTCTTGATTAATCAGTTTCGAATATTGTGCTTGATGGAATTTAATTTCTCTCAGCACTTCCTTCGACTTTGGTTTAATCCTCAATTTTCTCTCTCCTTCACTTATTTTCTCCAAAATTTTTTCCTTTTTTCCATTCCAGATTTTTTTCTTAATTGTATTCTGTTGTATCAGAAACCCCCTCATAACTGCTTTGCTTGCGTCCCAGATTGTTCTTTTCTCCACTGTGGTGTTCAAATTTATTTCAAATAGTCCTTTAGGGTTTTTTGGGCCTTCTTCACAATCTCTTGGTCTCTTAACAAGGTGTCATTCATTCTCCATCTAAAGGATCCGGTTGGGATGAGTCTCAGTTCCAATTTCAAGGCGTTATGGTCGGAGCAGGTTTTTGGGCAGATTTCTACCTTTCTTGTTTTAGGTGCCAGCCCTCTAGATATCCAAATTTGGTCGATTCGTGTCCATGACAGGTGGGCCTCAGAATAGAATGTTCCTTCTTTACCTAAGGGGTTTCTTGTCCTCCATATATCAATCAGGTCCATATTGTCTGTCAATTCAAAAAAGGTTTTGGGGAGTCTGCCGTCTGTTGTTAGATTCTGGTTTTGAGATTTGTCCATGTTTGTTGAGACTACCCCATTCATGTCACCCATAAATATAATATTAGAGTAGTCCAGGTAGTCCAGCATAGTCTCATGCAGCTTCTTATAGAATTCTGATTTTCCATCATTTGGTGCGTAAATTCCCAATATCAAAATTTTTTCACCTTGTGTTTGGATTTCGATTGCCAATATTCTTCCTTGGTCATCCTTAAATAGGAATTTTGGTGACAGGCTCTCCTTTGCATATATCACCACACCTCTTTTCTTGACTTTATCTGAAGAGATAAATTCTTGGCCTAGTCTTTTATTAATTAGCACTTTCCTGTGGAGCCTAGTCACGTGTGTTTCTTGTAAACATATTATGTCCAATTGTTCCTTTTTTAAGATGTGGAAAATCCTTCTCCTTTTTTCCGGGGAATTCCCGCCATTTATGTTCCAGCTAAGAAGTTGCAGAGACATCTTGTTCTGAAGTTGGTCCTAGAGTGGGGTGTCTTCCTTTTCCTCCGATCCCGAGGGCGTAGGCGTTGGCCCACCCCCAGGTGGTGCTGGTGTGGGCAAGGATGGTAGCCAAGCTGCTCCTTTCTGTAGATCTTCCCCGTGGTCGTGCAGGAACTTTTGGTTGTCTTCAGTTGTTCTAATTTTAATCTTCCTTTCCTTGTAAGTAAATGATAGTCCTTGTGGAAACTCCCACCTGTAGGGTATTGCGTTGTATCTCAGCAACTTAGCTAGCTCTGAGTAGGTAGCTCTAAGTTCCAGTAGCTGTCTCGGAATATCTCTGTAGATCTCCACCCTTTTATCTTGTATTTCTATTGCTTTTTTGAAGTGGAGGCCTAGGATCTTGTCTCTCTCCTCTTTTGATCTCAAGATTATTAAACAGTCTCTGGATCTGTCCTTCCTTGCCAATCTTCCCAGTCTGAATGCCGAAACAATTTTAAAATCTGTATCTTGCTTTATACCCCAGAACTTGGAGAATTCTTGTGTCAAATATCCAATCAGATCTCCTTTCTCAAGTTCTGGGATGCCTCTCAATTTAAGATTATTCTCACGGTTTTTCAATTCCACCATTGACAGATAGGCTTGTTGTTCCCCCACCTGCTTGTGCAGAGGCTTAACTTCTCCCTTTATCTCCTCGACCTCCTTCTGTAGAACTCCCACTTTCTGGATAGCTTCCCCAGCTAACTCACGATTTTCAGCTGTTGCTCCTTGCAGGTTTCCTATTGCTTGTGTGTGCTGGGAAACTTGATCAGTCAATTTCTGGATCGAGGATGTCGCTTTATCTATTTTCAAAGACTGGTCATCCACCTTTTGGTTTAGCTTTGACAATTGTTCCAATATTTGTTTCAAAACTGCGTCTGATCCACCTGCTGCCATATCTTCCTCCGTGGACTTCTCAGTCTTTTCAGCTTCTGCCTTTTGTGTCACCAACACAGCTGGCCCCGATGATCGGCGTCCCTGGGTCAGAGTTGTTTGTAAAAGTTGTGCTGGTTTTTTTTCCTTCTCTTTTTCCTTGGCCTCTTTAGTTTCCTTAGCTTTAGATGCTCTTGTTCTCCCTGCACCACTCATTACACATCTGTCAATGTTCAAGGTCAAGCTGTCAATTATCCCATGGGAAAGACAGACCCATTTGTAAACAGTCAGTGAGGAGGAAGTCAAAACAAAAAGTCAGTTCCCAGGTTTTTGTAATTCCACAAACCTCTAGGGGGAGTGCCACCAAATTTCAGAAACAAAGAAGGAAGTTCTCCGCCATTGATATTTCAAATGACGCAATTCAGAAAAAATAGAACAGTTCCTGCATAGCCCAAAAGTTCACCAGAGCACTTTTTGTTTTAAACAAAGTTTCATAGAAGGTGCCTGCAACAATGTCCCATCCACTCTGCTACTGCTCAAAAGTATCAGTTTAGCGCCACAAATTTCAGCAACAGTATCCTCCCTGGCAGTCCGGTAATCTGGCTCTTTAAAATTGCAGCCCTACAAACAGGAGGAAAGTTCCAACTTATACTTAGAGCTCCTTTTAATTCGTTAGCAGTTCCTCTCTTCAGTTTAAAAGAAAGACCACTTCATAAGCGCACGAAAGTTTAAACTTCCCAAAGTCCCTTTTGAAGTGCATCCCGCTTCTCAAGTCCTTGCTTTGAACTTGTCAGCGATGCCGGGAGGCGGACGTCCCTTTATCGTCTCCCGGTTTCAGCCAAATTTTTAGCAGATTCTTTGCCAATCTAATGCCCCTTACTCACGGGTATGTTGCTTGCAGCTTGATGTTGATTTTGGGAAGAAAGGTCAGCGCTCATCTGCAACAGCCGCGCGGCTTCACTTCCGCGGAAAGAGCGATGAACTCACAGCACCGCTCCCCCTCCTTCACTCCGGATCTCCTTACGGGGTCCCTTCTGTGATTTCGGGGTAGCTTCTGGTGCCCGCCGAGTCCCACGGCCACGGGCTCACTCTACCCGTGGTTTTTCTTTATGGGTCGTCGCTATGCCGCAGCGTACGACCCTTTTCCGCGGAGCCCCTCTTCAGAGAACGAAGAGGACCGCCATTACAGTTTCGCGCCGCCTCCGGAAGTCTAGCAAGCCTTTTTAAAGTGGATTAGAGAGAAAGAGCAGGGAGGAGGAATATTCACCACCAAAGCTAAACAGAACCTCCATGTCTAGAGGCAGTGGACCTGTGACCTCCAGGTGCTGGAAACCCAGGTGAGAGGAGGGCACTTACCTTTCCCAGAAGCCCCTCAGTGTCTGGGAGCAGGGTCTGGTCTGCTCCCCCTGCTCTCCCACTGGGCCTCCGACTGGCACCTGCAGCTCCCCTGAAGGAGAGGACACCATCCCCGGAGTGGGGAGGACTGGGAGCCTGTGGGGTTTCCCTCCCTGAACGAGGGGGCTGCATCGTCTTCAGGAAATCCTGCTTCTGGGCCTCCCAGTGCTGCTGCGGCTGCCCCTCCTCTGGCTCCTGCTTAATCTGACATAAATCTGCCCGAGGCAGAAGATCCCTGATGGTCCCAACTTGGCCGGCAGGAGGTTTCCTTCCTTTGCACTCCAGTCTCTCCCTTTGAATGGGTCTCCTGGGTCCCTGCTCTTCCATTTTTACGCCACCCTGCTGGAAAAGAAATAAACACAAAATAAAATAAAACTCAAGAATAAAACAAAAGCCCATTTTTTAACCATTAGCCAGTTTTTGAAATATGTTATTACTCTTTCTATTTCTGATGTTCAGGCTGTGAATGACAATCATTATGTCACCCAAACGGCTCCACCCAGGGACGAGGGGAAGTTATCCAAAGACTGGGGAAAACCTCAAGGTTTATGAAAGTACAAATAATATTTTTTTGGGGGGGGGGACCAAGGTAGAGGGAGGGAAATCCAACAACAACTCAGTGAGAGGACAGAGCATGTTCAGTGGACAGGGAATGCTGATCCTGGCTGCAACTTCTAGCATGTTGGAAAGGCAGCAACAGATCTTTTATATGATTAAGGCTGCGACAGACCCAGCTAACATTTAAAGTACATGGCTTCACCCAAGAAATCCTGTGAGCTGCAGTTTGTTAGGGGTGTTGAGAACTGTAGCAATAAACTACAGATCCCGTGGTTCTCTGGGGGAAGCCACGTGCTTTAAATGTATGGTATCTGCACAGCCTAAGAAACAAACTGACAAAAGAATATTGACCAACAAAATCAAAGAACTCACTCCAAAATATTTTATATTTGATGGTCACAAACTCTCTTGACTGAAGACATTCTAACTTGCAGTCCATTGGCTGCATATGGCTTCCCAAGCCTCAGGGTGTGTCCTGCTAGTCCCTGCCATTTCCATCTCCTGATCTGATCATCGGATGAAGATCTCTGTCTGTCCTGGAGAGAAAGATGCCTAAGGGGCCCATAGAGAGATCTTTTCAACTCCAATTTCAGCACAAACCAGCACAGTGCTGAAATGGGGCAAAAGCCCTGATCTGGAAATAAATGATCCCTCTGGTTGCTCTTTAAAGAGGATTTCTAAAGAACATTCTGAAGGGTCTTTTTTTCCACAGATCTCCTTGCTAATTCAGCAGAGTCTTCTTGTGCTCTTATTTCTCCTCCAGCCCAGCACTGGGGTTGGAAGGTCTAAACATGCTGATTGTGTTTTCAAGACTTGTATGTATGCTAGATGGCATGTCTGGTGAGTGTGTGCAGCACCTCTGGCGTGTGTGCATGTGACTTTATGGTCTGCATCTCTTTTCTGTGTGTACATGCATGTGCATACATTGGCCACAAAGCTCACTGGAATGTGGCCTCCAGAATCAATGCAGCTTTAAGCCCATAAATGTTTCGCTCCTCCTGCTCTATAGGAAAGAACAATCAAATCTGAGACTATCAGGAGGAGAGAACTGGATCTACAGAGTTAATGCTCTCAACATCCTATGGACACAAACTGCAATGAGATTTTCCATTAATTGCTTTGAGCTTATTTTCCTTAAAAATATGAAGCAGTATAGAAATGAAATGAGTAATAATCTGAACATGAATAATCTGAACATAGTATCCTCCTTTCCTCTGCCTTCTCAAATCTGGCACTCACTTCAACCCTCAGCCTTCATTTGCCTTACTGAGGAAGGTGGAAATAAAACAATTAATGAAACCAGGCTTAAGCCTGTCTCACTTATTTACACGCAGACACAAGAGGTCACTAGCTTTGACAGCTTGGGAAAAGATCAGATGCATTCTCTGGAGTATAGATCTATCAGCTGTTTTAATTGCCATGACAGATCAACAGAACCTCCATGTGTAGGCACAGTGTACCTTGATTTGGGGGAGGCAAAAGAACCCATTTCCTTGCTAAATGAACCTGACGGACATCATTGCCACAAGATGCGGCGATGGTGGTGGCAAAGAGAGCTTTCAAAGGCGATCAGACTAATTCACCAAGGAGGGTGATAGGTTTATCAATGGCACTGGCAGAGGAAGGGGGGGGCAGGAGTAGTGGCCTGCAAAGGGTGTCAGGGGGCTGCAGGGTGAGAAGGACACCTTCCTGTTGCACTGCTCTTCCATTTCCCCCCTGCCTCCCCTTCCCTCTCCCCCGTGGGGAGGACCGTGGAAGAGGACGGGGCTCCCTGCTGAGGGACAGGGAGAGGGGCGGCAAAAGCCCCAGGTACGCCGCTGATCATGGGACGACTGTATGCATCGTCCACCGCGAAGCAGCAGCTGCCTTGGACCCCTCATTCTGCCCCTTGAGCTCAGGCCTGAAGGGAGCAGCTCCCCAGGGTCTCCGGCAGGGTCCGTGCCAGCCTGAGCCAGAGATGTTTGCCCCTGTGCCCTCCTGCAGATGCCCTGCCCCTCAGCTGCGCCCCTTCCCCTTCCTGCCCGGGTGGGGGGGGGCGCCCTGCAGCCTCTGGCTGGACTCCGGGCCTGATCCTGCCAGGCCCACGTGCTCTCCTCCCCCTCCTGGCCCCCTCCCCCCCCGTCTCCTGCACCTCGGACTCCTCGCTCCGTCCCCGCACAGGAATCCGGCCCCTCTCCGGGGAAACTCGCCAGGCCACGGGGCCGCTGCTCCTCCGCTCTCCTCGGCGGGGGACAGGAAAGTGCAGCCGCTCTCGGGTCCCCCTGGCTGGCCCCGTTTCCTGCCTCTCTGGGCATCGGAGCTCGCTGGCTGTGGGTTGGGCCCTGGGAGGCTGCAAGGCTGGATGCGCCCCCTTGCAAGGCGAGGGCTGCGAGACCGCCCTGCTGCTTCCCCTGCCCTCGTATTTGCAGCCCGCTGCTTCTGATCCTGGAGGTTCTGCTCTTAGCTGTCGGGGCAAATGGATTAGCCCGATGAGATCCGGTGCGCCGCAACTCCAGAGTCGTCCGCGACAGGACCTAGCGGTTAGGGGTCCCTTTATGATATCTGGTCCATTCCTAGCCCTGGAGGAGCAGCAGGGAATAAGTCTTTGCACCCTTCTCTAGGGGTCTTCACACGCCACCATCGGTGTCCCTGCGCCCAAAAGTCGCTGAGCTGTCCTAGCTCAGTCGGTAGAGCGTGAGATGAATAATCTCATGGTTGTGGGTTCAAGCCCCACGTGAGAGAAAGTGGAAATAAAGTGTAATGTTACCTTGAAATTGTGTACACAGTATTCCAATGGTTAAACACACACAAAATTTCCCCCTTCTAGACCCTTTCGTTTTCTAATAAGTTTTTTTTTTTTTTAGAAAGCTATATCTCACATCAAAATTTATTACATCATTGGAATATATCTGGCATCTTATAAACTATCCAGGGTGTTGCATTAATAAGTCTCCTTGTGATCAGGTGTTCAGTCACTGATTTCTAAATCCCCATCAGGAAATATTCCTGAAATACCCTTTCATGAAGCTGGGACGATGCCATTCTGCAGCCCAAATGCCTGGCTGGAGGAGGCAGTCCAGTTCCCACCTCTGCTGGCTGGGGTCATGCAATCACTTAGCTCCAGCAACAGATTCCAGGATCAGGCTCTGTTATCTTTCCATACCCTCTATCATTTCTCTGATAGGGACATCCCGTTCTATGATGATTATTTTACTATTTATAACTCACACATCTTATCAGGTTGCCCTAGCACTCTGGGACGACAGAGGACAAGATGGTTGGACAGTATTCTGGAAGCTACCAGCATGAGTTTGACCAAACTGTGGGAGGCAGTGGAAGACAGGAGTGCCTGGCGTGCTCTGGTCCATGGGGTCACGAAGAGTCGGACACGACTAAACGACTAAACAACAACAATGCTGCCTATAGCCAGCCCTGGTCAGCAATGTGTCTGCAGCTCTTTGAGCCAGTTGAACTTTCTGAGCACTTTTCAAAGGCAGCCCCATGTAGAGTGTGTTACAGTGACATTTACGCAATGTGGCAGCAGACTGCTTCTTGGTGGGGGGGGGGGAGAGAATTATCTGTTATAAATGTGTGTTTGTGTGTGTGTTTGTTTCTCTCTCTCCTCTCTCTCTCTCTGTGTATCAGTAGTAGATAGGTAGCCGTGTTGGTCTGCCATAGTCAAAATAAAAAAAATTCCTTCCAGTAGCACCTTAAAGACCAACTAAGTTAGTTCTTGGTACGAGCTTTCGTGTGCATGCACACTTCTTCAGTGTATCTGAAGAAGTGTGCATGCACACGAAAGCTCATACCAAGAACTAACTTAGTTGGTCTTTAAGGTGCTACTGGAAGGAATTTTTTTTATTTTCTCTCTGTGTAGTTTAAATTCTCTGAATGCTTGTTTTTTGAGAAGGGGCTCTTAGGGTCATAAAGCAATGCCTTTCAACACATCTCCATAACATCATTGATTGTGCCCTCACACTGCCCTATTGTGTGAGGATTTTGATCCAGACGGGGAAAGATACAGCAGAATCCACCCCCTCTCTGTGTCGCCCTTAGGTGTGTGCTCAGCCTTCACCCCCCATTTCTTTATGGAGGGGCAAAGGCTATGCACTTTGTATAGACGCAACTACAACCAACAACTGACGTCTTCTGGGTGCACTGAGCTCCTCCCCCCCCGCCTTCTCTCCTCCAGATATAATACAGATTCCCTCCGCATCTTGCCCCACCTTCCAGAAGGAAAATATATAATAATAATACATTTTATTTATATCCCGCCATCCATGCGCGGCTAACACCAGTAAAATTACAATAAAAACATAATATTGAAAAAACCCAATTCAAAATACAAGTTAAAATACAAGTTAAAATGCAGCCTCATTTTATAAGTAGCCCATAGAGCAAAACCATAAGGGGAGGGAAACGTAAGGGTCAGACTGAGTCCAAACCAAAGGCCAGGCGGAACAGCTCTGTCTTGCAGGCCCTGCGGAAAGATGCCAATAATAAAATTTTATTATTTATACCCCACACATCTGGCTGGGGTTCCCCAGCCACTCTGGGCGGCTTCCAACAAAATATTAAAATACCCTAATACATCAAACATTAAAAGCTTCACTAAACAGGGCTGCCTTCAGATGTCTTCTAAAAGTCTGGTAGTTGTTGCTTTCTTTGACATCTGGTGGGAGGGCGTTCCACAGGAAAGGCGCCACTACCGAGAAGGCCCTCTGTGTGGTTCCCTGTAAACTTGGCTTCTCACAGTGAGGGAACCGCCAGAAGGCCCTCAGCGCTGGACCTCAGTGTCCGGGTAGAACGATGGGGGTGGAGACGCTTCTTCAGGGCACTAGTCCCTTGTGACAGAGCGTTCCACCAAGTCAGGGCCAATACGGAAAAGGCCCTGGCCCTAGTTCAGACCAATCTAACCACCTTGTGACTTGGGACCTCCAAAGTGTTGTCATTTGTGGACCTTAAGGTCCTCCGTGGGGCATACCAGGAGTGGCGGTCCCGTAGTTACCGTATTTTTCGCTCTATAACACGCAGATTTTTTCTCCTAAAAAGGAAGGGGAAATGTCTGTGCGTGTTATGCAGCGAATGTGTGGTCCCTGTAGCCGAAAAATAAGGCAAAAATCAAACCGCGCTTCAGGGAGAAGGGAAGCCTGAAGAGAGGAAGTGGCAGCTTCCCTGCATTCTGCCTCAGGGTCTTACTGCCCACCCTGCTCTGTTTCGTTGCTGTGTTTGCTCAAACGGAACAAAGAGCAGGGAAAGCCCCTCCCCTCCAGGCAAGTAGAGAGGAAAGCAGAGCGTCGCTCTATCCTGTCCCTGCTCCGGAGGGAACAATGTTTGTGAAGGGAAGAGAGATTACAGGTTCAGCTTAAAATTCTGATTTGACTTCCTGCTTTTTGTTTTTGGAGACACACAGCATTCAAATATGCTTTCTTCCATTTAAAAGGATGAAATCCTTAAACAGTGGCTGGCTTGTGTGGGTGGGTGGGGGAAAACTTTTGCCTTCCTTTCCTCACGTTATAGCCCTCTCCTGCATTCTTAGCCTTCTGTGTTTTTCCTTCCCTCCCCACTTAAAATGTGGTTACAAAGCATGGATCCACATGGATCCTCAGGATCTTTGCATTGGGTCACCCCAAATTCACCATCAGAGCACACAGCATGTCCATGGCTACAGCCTGTCCCCCCCCCAAAAAAAATCACACACCCATTGTTGCCTGGGGCTGCAATGGTGCAAAAACGTGGTTACAAAGCATGGATCCACAGGGATCCTCAGGATCTTTGCATTGGGTCAGCCAAAATTCACCATCAGAGCACATAGCATGTCCATGGCTACAGCCTGTCCCCCCCAAAAAAATCACGCACCCACTGTTGCCTGGGGCTGCAATGGTGCAAAAACGTGGTTACAAAGCATGGATCCACAGGGATTCTCAGGATTTTTGCATTGGGTCACCCCAAATTCACCATCAGAGCACATAGCATGTCCATGGCTACAGCCTGCCCCCCCCCAAATCACGCACCCACTGTTGCCTGGGGCTGCAATGGTGCAAAAACGTGGTTACAAAGCATGGATCCACAGGGATTCTCAGGATTTTTGCATTGGGTCACCCCAAATTCACCATCAGATCACATGTCTGTGGCCACAGCATGAATCACAAAAATGATACGTCCACTGTTTCATTCAGAATATTTTTCCCTTGTTTTCCTCCTCTAAAAACGATGTGCGTGTTATGGTCAGGTGCGTGTTATAGAGCGAAAAATACGGTACGTGGGTCCTAGGCTGCATAGGGCTTTACAGGTCAAAACCAGCACCTTAAACCTGACCCTGTACTCCACCAAGAGCCAGTGCAGTTGGTAAAGCACTGGATGAAACATAAAAACAGTTTCTATCCAAATGCGATTTTGGTTTTAAACGCAGTGTAAGGTAGTCTCTATGTGAGTATATTATATTTAATTATGGGAATCAGTGTTTCTAAGGGGTTAACCAGGCTGGGATAGCAGGTTTGTTGGTTTTTGAATGTCTGATGTAGATTTTTTCAATTTGGTTGTTCTGTATGGGACAATGACAATAAAGATTATCATATCGTATTGCATTGATGAATGTGATCCCATGGCAAGGACCCCGTAAGGAGCCTTGCCGCAGCATTCTGCACCTGCTGGAGTCTCTGGGTCTGATTGTTTGTTTAGGACGTCATTATATTGTATGAAAAGTGAAATCTCATTGCAGTTTGTGTCCATAGGATGTTGAGAACATTAAATCTGTAGATCCAGGAGTTCTCTCCACCTGATAGTCTTAGATTAGATTGTTCTTTCTGATAGAGCAGGAGGAACGAAACATTTATGGGCTTAAAGCTGCATTGATTCTGGAGGCCACATTCCAGTGAGCTTTGTGGCCAATGTATGCATACCATAAAGTCACATGTACACACGCCAGAGGTGCTGCACACACTCACCAGACATGCCATCTAGCATACATACAAGTCTTGCGAACACAATCAGCATGTTTAGACCTTCCAACCCCAGTGCTGGGGTGGAGGAGAAATAAGAGCACAAGAAGACCCTGCTGAATTAGCAATGAGTTCTAGGAAAAAACACCCTTCTCATTGTTCTTTGGAAATCCTCTTTAAAGAGCAGTCAGAGGTATAATTTATTTCCAGTTCAGAACTTCTATCCCATCCTTCCAATTCACGAATGAGGGCGATAGGTTTTATCGATGGTACTGGCAGAGGAAGGGGGGGGCAGGAGTAGTGATCTGCGAAGGGTGTCAGGGGGCTGCAGAGTGAGAGGGACACCTCCCTGCTGCACTGCTCTTACTTTCCCCTGCCTCCCCTTCCCTCTCCGCCGTGGGGAGGACTGTCGAAATGGGCTGGGCTCCCTGATGAGGGACAGGGAGAGGGGCAGCAAAAGCCCCAACTACGCCGCTGATCATGGGACGACTATATGCATCGTCCATCGCGGAGCAGCAGCTGCCTTGGACCCCTCATTCTGCCCCTTGAGCTCAGGACTGAAGGGAGCAGCTCCCCAGGGTCTCCGGCAGGGTCCGTGCCAGCCTGAGCCAGAGATGTTTGCCCCTGTGCCCTCCTGCAGATGCCCTGCCCCTCAGCTGCGCCCCTTCCCCTTCCTGCCCGGTTGGGGGGCGCCCTGCAGCCTCTGACTCCACTCGGGGCCTGATCCTGCCAGGCCCACGTGCTCTCCCCCTCCTGCACCTCGGACTCCTCGCTCCGTCCCCGCAGCGGAATCCGGCTCCTCTCCGGGGAAACTCGCCAGGCCACGGGCCGCTGCTCCTCCGCTGTCCTCGGCGGGGGACAGGAAAGTGCAGCCGCTCTCGAGTCCCCCTGGCTGGCCCCGTTTCCTGCCTCTCTGGGCATCGGAGCTCGCTGGCTGTGGGTTGGGCCCTGGGAGGCTGCGAGGCTGGATGCGCCCCCTTGCTCTGTCCCTCAAAATTTATTGTATCATTGGAATCTACCTGGCATCTTATATGCCATCCAGAATGTTGCACAAATCCTTGTGATCCGATGTGCAGTCACTGGTTTCCTCATCAGTAAATATTTTCAGAAAGCTGGGACGATGCCACCCTGCAGCCATAGCTGTCAATGTTCAGATTTGAAATAAGGGATCCGCAGCCTCACCTGTCCCGGGGACAGTCTACAGGATACCTAACAATCCGGGATAGCAGCGGGAAATGGCACTGGAATAAGGGAATTTCCGGCAAAAAAAGGGAAGGTTGACAGCTATGCCTGCAGCCCGAATGGAGGAGGCAGTCCAGTTCCCAGCTCTGCTGGTTGGGATCTTGCAATCACTTAGCTCCAGCAACCGACCTTTCCAAAGCCTCCAACATGTCTCTGATGAAAATAGGAACATCCCATTCCATAAATATAATTTTATTATTTATACACCGCACATCTTATTACGCTGCCCCAGCCACTCTGGGCAGTTTCCAACATATATAAAAAACATTAGAAAACATTAAACATTAAAACTTTCCTATACAGGATTGCCTTCTCAGAGGGCCGGGGGGTCGCATAATTCCATTCCCTCCAGCATTTCTTCAATGAAAATAGGGAGACCCTAAGGAGAAGCGGAATATTCTGGGATCAAATCAGAAACCAGGACAGCTTCTCTAAATCAGGGACATCCCTGGAAAATAGTGGAATTTGGAGGGTTTCTCTTTCCCTGCTTTTTCATTCGCTGCCTCTGGTCTCCTGCATCCATTTAGCAGAGGAGGGGAACGGTTTTGGCCTTCATACTTCTCCACCCCCCACCCCACACCCAATATAACCAAAAACACACACATCATTTGGGAGTGAGGACCAAAAAAACATAAAAATCCTTTTATTATTTTATTACTTATTTTTGCAGTTCAATCTACTGTATCTATTAATTTTATTGTTTATAGCCAATGGCCACCACAATACAATATAAGCACAAATCACACAGCTGCAAAACAAAAGACATTGCATGCACCTGACCAGGATAAATCTATAGCGTCCAAAATTTATTTTCACATTTGTTTCAATAGGAAGGATATAGGGCAGCAGAGTCCAAGTGGTGAGGTCCAGATTAGAGTTTCTTTCATCCTTGACTGTCTGCCCTGCTGGCTGAAGCAGATGGGAACTGGACAACAGCATCTGGGGACATCTCAATGACTATTTTGTGATATACAAAATCTTCAAAGGATTAAGGCACTGATCCAGAAGAGAATGAACTGAGAAGAGGCCCCACTGAATTATCTGAAGTGAAACAGAGGAATATCATTATATAATAATAATAATTTATTATTTATACCCCGCCCATCTGGCTGAGTTTCCCCAACCACTCTGGGCAGCTTCCAATCAAGTGTTAAAAACAGTACAGCATTAAATATTAAAAACTTCCCTAAACAGGGCTGCCTTCAGATGTCTTTTAAAGATAGGATAGCTGCTTATTTCCTTCACATCTGAAGGGAGGGTGTTGGCTTCCTAACTATAAGCTACTCTGTTTGGATATCATAAAAATTTACAGACAGACTTTAATGTTGTATACAGTGTAAGGTTGGGGAATTGAGAGGTGGGGAGAGCAAGCGGGGGGGGGAGGGGTAGTACACTTTCATTATTTTACAAAGTTCATATGCAAGGTGTTTGTGTCAGTGTGACATGGCTAGGTTCTCTTCATTTGTTAGTTTTCATTGGCAGTGAGAAAGATCGGGGGGGGGCAGGGCATAGTTGGTTGCCTTCAGTTGACTGCAGTAAAGGTGGTGGAGGCTGAACCATTTTGAGGAAGGGATAGTTGTAATTCTTGGTTTGGTCCTTCAAGTAAAGGTAAAGGTGAAGGGACCCCTGACCATTAGACCCAGTTGTAGACAACTCTGGGGTTGCGGCGCTCATCTCGCTTTACTGGCCGAGGGAGCCTCCGGGTCATGTGGCCAGCATGACTAAGCTACTTCTGGTGAAGCAGAGCAGCACACAGAAACGCCGTTTACCTTCCCGCCGGAGCGGTACCTATTTATCTACTTGCAGTTTGACGTGCTTTTGAACTGCTAGGTTGGCAGGAGCAGGGACCGAGTAACGGGACCGTCGTGGGGATTCAAACCACGACCTTCTGATCGGCAAGCCCTAGGCTCTGTGGTTTAACAAACAGCACCACCCGCGTCCCTTCAAGTACTTGTTAAAGTACTAGTTGAAGTACCCTTCAAGTACTTGCTGTTAAAGTTGTTCCATGGAATTCCTGATCTGGACCTTGTGTGGAAATGAATTCTCTCCATCACAAAAATAAGTTTTGAAGCTTTACTGCAGAACAGTCTTAAACAGTCTAACAATAAGATAAGCATGATAAAATAGCACATTGCAAACAATGTTCATTCCTTTATGTAATTCAGTCAGCTTTCCTATCCCAGGTCCCAGAGGGAGATCCTAAGCTTCTTCAACATTGCATGACTTATTTGCAACTGCTGCTGCTGCTTCTCCTAGCCATCTCCAGCAAGAACACACTGGCTTCTCAGGTTTAAGCTTCCTTCCGTGAGAGCTCTGCAGCTTATGCCTCCAGCGATGAGTTATGAGGAAAGATCCAGCCTCCTCTGAGGCTTCTGTCAGAGTGGAACCTCTTGCCTAAGTCGAAGAGAAACTTCCCTTTATAGTATTTTTATTACAATGCATTCAAGCACAGCATTATATGTACATTAAACTTACAGGACTTGTTCCCTTCCAAGTAACAATGACACTTACAAACAGGTTGTCGCTTTCTTTTATTATGTCTGCTTCGTATGCCAGAATGTTATCTCTCTTTTCCCTCAAATGCTCCAGGCGACCACAGATGAGTGTCTAAAGAGAAACCAAAAGCTCAGAGTTGGGGGGGGGGGTTGAAGCCTTGAATATCAGGTTGCCTCCTAGTCCCTGCCATTAGATTTGTATTTGGAAAGTGTTGTAGGAGTTTTAAGGTTTTTTAGCTGTATATTTAAAAAACAAGGCTCTTGTGAGATGTTTCATTATTTTGTTATTCTGACATTGCATTGCACAGGAGCACCTTTGCACAGCTGTTTGATTTTTTTTTATGAAAAAAGAATAAGAATGCATTCCAAAGGGTTTCTTTAGAAGCAGAACAAGTAGTTTATTTTATTTTTTATAACAGAGGAAATGATGCCCAATTCTTAGTGCTCATCCTGGCTTTAAGATTAGCAGCCACACCCTCACAAAAAGCTATGAAAGGATTTTGTTAGCAAGATTCAAGGTGAATTCCTGCCTTATTTTCCAGGGCTGCTTCTTCCCTGAAAACCAAAATTTTAAAAGATGATGCTGTAAGGCAGTGTTTCCCAACCGGTGTTCCGCGGCACACTAGTGTGCCGCGAGATGTTGCCTTGTGTGCCGCGAGCGAGTCCAAAAAAGGTTGGGAAACACTGGTTTCTCTTTCAAAAAGGAAACGTGGGTTAAAGCGGCGCCGCCGCCTCCCACTCACTTTCCTGCTCTGGCTTCCCTAACAGTTTTCCAAGTTGCGTCACTGGATCCAGCCCCCTTTTCCACATGTGACACGGGGCTGGAGGGAGGGAAAGAGGGCTTTACATCGCGCACAAAGGCAGCCTCCTAGAAGCGCTCTGGGCCGGCGCCGTTTTGCCGAAGGCGCCGGAGGACCCCCGGAGGATAGAAATCCATCTATCCTGGAGTGGGGCTTACCTGGGCGCCCCCCCAATATTTTAATCCATTTGGCACCCCTGCTGCCCCCAACCGGAGGTCGCCCGCTCTCCACCGGAGGAGACGCTGGAGCGCCACGGCCCATCTGGATCAAGGCCCTCGGGCCCCGCTGCAGAGGAGGGGGTTCCCCTTCCCTTCCCCTGCGGGCGCCCCCTCGGCTCCCGCATCCCCCAGCGCGCCTGGACGCCGCCGCCACCGCCGCGCGCAGCCTCCCGGGGCTCGGAGGCTCTCCAGCAGCGGCAACATCTGGCGCTGCACCGCCTCCCGGGCCGGGCGGGCGCGGTCCCTGGACGCCGCCGGCGCCTCCCCTCGAGGGCTGCCGGTACCTGGCGCCCCGCCATCCCCAGCCAGGCTGGGCGGCCGCAGCCGCGTAGCCTCCGCTTCCGCCGGTCGGAGTGCAAAGGGTGCTCGGGGAGGCGCTGCGAGCCGGCGCCGCCTTTTTATCCCGCCCCGTCGAGCCGGGGCCTCGCGGAGGCTCCCAGCTCCGCGCCGGGCGCCCCTCCGCGCCCTCCCCTACCTGCCGGGCTGCTGGGAGAGGCTGGAAGGCAGCCTCCCTCTCCCGGAGCCGGAGCTGAGCCTCGCCGCCTCTCCAAATCGAGAACAAAGCCCGGGGGACAGGCGAGAGGGGGGCGCGGGACCCCGACAGAACAATGGGGGGCCGGGGAGGGGAGGGGGCTTCCAAAGGATTAGGCAAATCCCGCGGGGATCCGAGGCCGGGATGTAGCTACAATGCAGCCACAGTTTTTATTTACAGTTTTTATTTACAGTTTTTATTTACAGTTTTGCCGAAGGCGCCGGAGGACCCCCACCCTCAGCTCCTTCAGAAAGGAAGCCCTGCCCCTCGGCTCCCTACGCCGCCAGGCAGCTCAGCTGGCTGACGAGGACGTTCTGCGGCGGCGGCCGCCGCACAACCACCGCAGTTGCTGGCAGCGTCCGCAGCGCAATAAGTAACAGCGCCTGGTGCTGCCAACTCTTTCTCTCTCTCTCCCGCCCCGCCCCCAAGCTCTCGCGCGCCCCGCGTCAACATCGCCGCGTGCAGCTTCCCGAGCTCGAGGCCAGCCGCTGCACGCACGCGCCGGCTCGTCATTGGCTCCGGTTGTTGCCTTTCTCCGCCGAGGTTGGTGGACCCCGAGCCTAGGCTTCCTTCCCGCACCCCGCTTTCCGAAGACCGCACACCAGTTGGGCCAGTACATATTCCCCTCCCGTGACTGGAGCGGAATAGCCCTTTCTCTTCTTCCCCAACCCTTGTCGTTGG